ACTCATCCAGCGTGCTGTCATGCCAAGAGTATCCATTGATCCTGCCGCCACAAACGTGGAATCTGTTCCTGACACCCCTGCTGCTGACACCTCTGCTGATGAGAATCATAATGAAGAAATTGTCAACGAAGAGGAACAGGAACATGTGGCGTGAGTGTGTTTTTATTTTTTGAAGAAAATGTTTGGATAAAAACATCGCAAATTGGGGGATAATCATGCTGGTGATGCTGACTGTGCCTAGATCTAGCGCATTTCTGGCTGAAGACATCCATACTTGCGAAAAGCCTGTGGCCGTATTCATCAACGAACCCTAAGGATAGACCTTAAGGGTAAGGTTTACACTCAGGGTTCATTGATGAATGCGGGTTAATCGCTTTCCGGGATACTCTTAAGGGTAGGTCTGACCCTCGAAGTTAAGCGAACCCTGTCGTGAATACGGGTTTTATGCTTCCTAGGGTAAAACTTAGCGTCGAGAGCAAGGATTACCTTTGGGGTTTGTTGATGCAGACGGCCACTGGATTGACCCAAGGTTGAGGCTCCAAAATTCTGAAACCATTTTTGTGACATCTTCCATATCACCTATATTCCAGTGAAGTCCCATCTGTCAACGGTGAAGATTTCGCGGACGACATCGGTTGTCCTGAAAACGATGACGATGCTGGTTTTGAAGATGAGGAGGCTCCGACCACGGACGCGGTCGCTGGAGACAACCAGACTCACAACAATTCGGAAGAGCCCGAATCACTGAAGGGAAAAAGTAAGAGCAATCGCGTTAGTTGGAAATGTCACAAACCATTTTTCTAGGTAAGCTTGAGCCGGAACACGTGGAAGAACCTCCGAAGAAAAAAGAGAAGAGAGTGAAGCTGGAGCCGGATGTCAAAATTGAAGAGACTGAACTAGAGTATCTTTTTTTCTTTGCGCATTAAACTATCTGATTTTCTATTTTCTAATTTCTTTTCCTGGTTTAAGGTACTTCACAAAAATGCCGCAACATCATAGCGTTTCCCTCAAGGAACGCTTCAAAATTGTGGATCCGCGGACACTTGTTCGCAGTGAAGATGTGATCTTCACTCGTCGAAAGCC